CAGGTGTGTGGGTGGGCCTGGAGGGACGGGACTGCTTGTGGAGTCGATCATGGATGGGAGACATATATGAGCATATATATACAAATACATGGTTGCTATCAAGTGTTCCTTCTGCTGCTTTCTCTCTTTCTTCTCCTTCTGGTCATCCCATGATGCATGCGTCACACATTTGGTAGTCATCTCAGTCCTTGGATATTCTTTCTGTTTGTTCAGTCTTCTTTATTCTTTCTTATGTTTGCTTTTGAGTTTGGGAGATTTCTATCCATGTATCCTCAAACTCAGACCTCTTTCCTCAGCCACATTCAATCAAACACAGTGCTCATTTCTGTGGCAATTTTCGACCCCTAGCATTTTTGTTGATTTTCCTAGGACTCCCGCACCTCTGCTTCCACTGCCATCCATCATGCCCTTAGCATCTTCAACACAGGTGATTCCCCGTGGGGCCACTCCAACAGCCCTGCTGTGTCTGTCTATGATGCTGCGCTGTCCTTCAAACTGTTTTTTTGCTGTTTGGTAAGGCTTTCGATTTTCCTTGATAGCTGGACACGATGTTCCACATAAACAGAACTGCTGTACATGGGCCCTTGGTGATGTGGTAGGAGGCATGGGGAGGGGGAAAGCCATCATACACTGTGAGTAGGTCTCAGTCTTTAATTTTATTTATTTATTTTATAATATAGCCACTATCATCAATGGCCAATTTATTTAACCTCTAGAGTACAACTTTTGGTATATGTGAGGTCATTCTTTTTTTTTTTTTTTAATTGGGGAACAGCCAAGTTGTTGTTCTTCAATCTTTGTTGTGGAGGGCACCAGTCACCATCTGGCTTCCCGTCAGCAGCTCATGGCCTCTAAGCTCAAGGTGCTGTGTTCAATCTTAGTTGCAGGTGGGCATAGCCCACCATCAAACAGGCAATCTTATTGTTACACCAGCTGAGCCATCCTGCCACCTGTTGACAGCTCAGCGACAGCTCAGTTGGGGCGCAGTGTCACTGGCCCATGTGGGAATCAAACCGGCGACGGCCCTGTTGCTCAGAGCCCGCACTCTTAAGTCAACTCTTAACCAACTGAGCCACTCAGCTGGCCTGGTCCCAGTCTTTTAGTGAGCCTGTGCCTCCACACTGAATTTTGCAAGTGTTTCTCCATTGTCTGCCCCCACTCCCCAACCCCTACTGGGTGGGACAGGATGGCAGGGGAGGCTGGAGTTGGCTATGTCCCTTCTGCAGGTTAGGCTCTGGTTAATGAGTTTCCCTTGGGCGCAGACCTCCTTACAGAAGGCAGTGCTCTAGTGCATTTCAAAGGGTTTGGGGGTTTGCTTTTTGCCCTCCCCTTGCTGGAAGCAGGAATGGATTTTCCTCTGGTTTACTGGGAGAGGCTGGCCAAGCTTCTGGAGGGAGAATTCACAAAACTGTGGGAGTTTCTAACTTAGACTCCTCATTATAGCACAGGATTTCCCACCCAGGCCTTGTTCCCTGGGGGGGAGGGAGTGGGGGGCGGTTCTGCTCCAGGAAACCTTGACTCCCTCTAGGCTCCTATCTGTCTCTCCGGTTCCCAAGGCAGCAGTGTCTCCATGTCCTCACCTTTCTTACAGACACAAGAATTTTCAGTCAGCTCAGTTTTACTTGTTAGGACAAACAAGCTCCTTACATAAGGAATCCCAAACTGAAAGTCCATGACTGGTTTTTGTTTGTTTGTTTTAGGTTATTCTGTCCACTAACTGATGAATTAGGAGTCTTCAAATATGGACAACTGCATTAAAATTAGATAATCTTATGTGCTCAACAGTATGTTTGCATTTTCCCTTTCATTTTAATCCATTCTTACAATGGGCAGGGTGACTGTGAATTCTAAAAAGGGGGAGAGAGGGTTACAGTGCTTTCTTGTCTTTGTCCCCGTCACTCATTCATAGACTCAGTACATAGTATTTAACTCCCATTGTGGGTCAACCATATTGTTTACCAAGACAGACGTGGTTCCTAATTTCATGGAGCTTACCTTCTGGTGGAGAATCAGAATATAAAAGTAGAAATAAAAACAAAATAATAATAGGGAGAGGTATAATTGGTGTCAGCTGTATCATTTCGAGGGGAAGTCATTTCTTTGGAGCATGACAGTGTATCCCTGCTCAGGAGAGTGAAAACCCTTTGCCATTTTGGTTAAGTATGAAGACTGCTAATGTCCTCACCGGCATAGTATTTTTGCTCCAGACCGCTCAGAAGCTCTCTCCATGTCTTTTCCAAACAATGTTCTAAGAACCCCAAGGGAGGTGGTTCTGAAAACCATCTTCCTTTTGCAGATGGGGGTTGGGGCTCTGGCCAATGGCATTCTCTTCTTCCATAACGTCTCTCCATTCTTGCTTGGACACAGGCAGAGGCCCATACACATGGTTCTCACCCACATGGCGGTGGCCAATCTCTTGGTTCTTCTGTCCTCTGGGATTCCCCACATGATGGGAGCTTTTGTTTTGAGGAACCCCTTATCCAGTCTTGGGTGTAAATTTGCCTACTATATACACAGGATGGCTCGTAGCACCACCCTGTGCTCCACCTGTGTCCTGAGCACCTATCAGTTCTTCACACTCATCCCCAGGAGAGTGGAATGGATGATGCTCCGAGGAGGAGTCCCCAAGGTCACTGGTCCTTCCTGTTGTATCTGCTGGATGTTCAATTTCTTCATGTATGTCTATATTCCCATGAAAATCACTGGTCCACAGGACACACAAAATGATACTGACACCCAAGAGAAGTGGTTCTGTTCAGCCTCAAGTCCCAGTGCAGGCATTGTCATCTTGTGGTCCATCTTTGATGCCATGTTCATTGGCTTCATGGTCTGGTCCAGTGGCTCCATGGTGCTTCTCCTGCTCAGACACCACCAGAAACTGCAGCATATTCACACCCCCAATGGCTCCCACAGATGCCCCCCGGAGACCAGAGCAACCCACACCATCCTGATGCTGGCAGTCACCTTCGTCGCCTTCTACATGCTGAATTCCATTTTTGCTTTATACGTCACTATCTTTTTAGATTCCCATCTATGGTTGATGCAGACCGCTCATGTTTTGGCTTCATGTTTTCCCACTTTTAGCCCCTTCTTGCTGATCCTTAGGGATCCTAGAACTCTTGAGTTGTTGAAATCACAGTTGAACAGGTAAATAAATACATGGAAGTCACCTTCTATACATGATTACTATATTTAGTAATCATTTACCAGTTACCCATCTTTATAAACTTGTTATAAAATATACATATTATTCATGATTTTAACCATTTGTAAGTGTACAACCCAGTGACATTAAAGTCACAATGATGTGTAACCATCACCACTATCTATATCCAAGACTTTCTCATCGTCCTCAACAAAGAGTCAGTACTCATGAAAGAGTAACTCTCCTTTCCTCTCTCCTCCCACCCGATATCCTCAATTCTACTGTCTCTATGAATTTACCTGCTCTAGGTACATCATATAAATGGGATATTTCATTCATTTTAATGGCTAAAATCTCTCCCAGTCTACGTATAGATGACATTTTGTTTATTCTTCCATCTGTTGGATACTTGGGTTGTTCCCACCTCTTGACTATTGTGAATAACACTGCTGTGAACATGAGTGTGCAAGTATCTGTCCAGTTCCTCCCTTTCAATTCTTTTGGATCTATACCCAGGACTGGAATTGATGTTGTATGGTAGTTCTGCATTTAACCTTTTGGGAAATCACCAGCTTCCCACAGCTGTATCATTTTACATTCCCACCAGCCATGCACAAAGGCTCATTTCTCCATCTTCTCCAACACTGGTCATTTCCCATGTTTTGGTTATGTCCGTCCTAGCAGCTGTGAAGTGCTGGTTTGCATTTTCCCAATGACTAATGATGTTGAGCATCTTCTCACATGTGAATTGGCAGTTTGCATATCTTTGGAGAAATGCCTACTCAAGTCCTTTGCCCATTTCTGTATTGGGTGGGGTTTTTTTGTTAGTTTTGGGAGTACTTTATATATTCTGGATATTGATTCCTTACTAGTCAAAGATTCACAAATATTCTCTCCCACTCTTTCAACTGCTGAGTTCATCCCTGCATGTGGGACCCAGTGCCCCAGCCAGGTGGAGGGTATCTAAGCAGAGATCCAACACATGCCTCCACCATGCCATTTTTAACATGCCTCAAATAATCACGATTTTATATCTAACCCTTGGAGGTGATGTTTAATTCGGTTTAGTTGTGCAATTGGAGTGAAGAGATCTGGTCCACTGGGACATTCCAAAAGGAACCTAGAAGCGATTCTGCCAGTCATATCACGAGCTCCCCCCATTGTTCACCCACTTTTGAAAGCACTGGGCTAATGGCTGCAGGGTTTGCTGCCCTAAATGCATCATCACATATCTCTGCACATTATCACCCAATTGTTCCAAGCCAGGAATCATATAATTACCCTTCTCCAGGGGTACTGTGGGAGGGACGCAGATGAAACCATATCTGCTCTAGGTAGATGGCGGTTGTATGCAGACAAGGTTGTTCCCCCAGGTGAGTGGGGTAATGCCACTATTGTAATTTTCTGTGCTTGAAATTTAAAGCACGTTAAAATTTGTATTCTACGGTGCAAGTGTTAAGTAGTGCTCTTTGAAGTTACAAATATTCAAATTGGTATAACATGGGTGAAATACAAAGCTAAAGAATTTGCCCTAAAGGTAGAATAAAAACATGAAGACATGCTCAGTGGGAAACAAAAAGACAGCAAAAAGAACAATTTCTGGGTGGAAAGCCTGTTGGAAACCCCTGGGGAGTGTGTGGTTGTCCCAGGGGCTGGGGGCCCTATGAGCTTGCAGATGGGGTTGGTAGCAGGTACTATCAGTCCCACAAAGTACGTGTTGCAGGAACTAAGCATTTTTTCAAGAGCCAAAAGAGTCACTATTTCAGGCTCAGAGTCCATGGCCATGTGGTCTCTGTGACACTTACTTAATGCTGCCTTTGGAAGGTTCCATAGACAATATGAACACGGGTGTGGCTGCATTCCAATAAAACTTTATTTACGAAAACAAGCAGCCAGCGCAAAGACCAGTTTGCTAACCCGAGCTGGGATGCTCATTGTGAGGAGTAATGGTGTCCTCAGCACAGTAAAGGGCGTGTTGCTCAGACTGAAAGTACGAGGGTGCTGGGTCCGTTGTGGATGGCCATAGGGGACCAAGCAGAGGACAGACAGGCATCTGCAGAGAGCGGGCAGGGCTAAAGGGAAGACAGCATTTGTTTTAAGGGAAACGGGAGGCAAGGCACAGGCTGGCTGAGGGTGTGCGCGTCCGAGTGGAGTTTCTAGGGGAGAAAAACTGAGACACAGATGGGGTGAGACAGAGAAACTGTGAGCGAGCGTGTGCAGCCCAGGGGAAGTCACTGCAAAAATATGTGTACACACAAGGTGGATGTCTGCAGCTGCGTGTTGAGAGAACACTCCAGAGCATGTGTGAGAAGGAGTCCAGGTGAGAGTGAGCAGGCTCTTGTGCGTCAGTGTGTCCAAAAGCATGCCCAGCACTCGTGGCTCAGCTTTCCTCAGGAACAGCCAGTGCCACTATACCTGGGGCCCAGGCCAGGCCTCGGTCTCTGGAGCCACCTACTGGCTGCAGACACACAGGCCCTCCCCGCCAGAACGCTGGGGCCCTGCAGCCCTCCCTCAGTGAGAAAGCTCATTGTGGGTACCTGTCCACTTCAGCCCTCTGGGCACAGACACCCTGGTCAGAACCACACCTACAAGGCCCTTCCCAGCACCCACAGAGGGCCCGAGCTGCTTGGCCGAGAGCCCAACATCTAACCTGCAGGACCTGGAGACCACACATGCTAAGAGTGAGCCAGCAAGGAAGAGATGACCATCCTTTCAGTGACAATGGGCCACTACAAACCTCGGTGCTCAGGACTAATGGGGGCTCAGGGGAGGGCGGGGGACTTAAATGACGGCTCCTAGTGAGAAGTGGTGGCTGGAATATTCTGGAAAGATGACTATATGAGACATGACATTTCTGGATCTACTGTGTATCTCACACTGTAAGC